GGACGCTCAGAAGATGGAGTTAGGACGTCGGCACAGCACTGTGACCTTGGTTGACGTCACATGGATCAGGTCGTGGTGTGTTGTTGTTGTAGGACGCTTGTAGTTGTGCAGAAGTGGAGTTAGGACGTCGGGCACAGCACTGGGTGACCTTGGTTGACGTCACATGGATCAGGTCAGTTGTTGTTGTGTAGGACGCTGTGTTGTGGTTGTGCAGAAGATGGAGTTAGGACGTCGGGCACACACTGGTGACCTTGGCGTCACATGGATCAGGTGGTGTGGTGTTGTTGTAGGACGCTGTGGGTTGTGGATTTAGGACGTTGGGCACAGCACTGGGGAGACCTTGGATTCAAGGCACAGGATCTGGTCTTGGGGTCGTAGTTATGATACGGCGTGAGGTTGTGGGACGAGGCGTGGTTGTAGTGGGACGTGTTGTTGTAGTGCACAGAGGAGAATTTGGACGTATGTTACAGCACTGCGTTGATCTAGGATTCACGGCACAAGGATCAGGCCTTGTAGTGGTTGTAGTGGTTGTGGTGGTAGTGGTACACTGGCGATGGTTGGGGTTCCTTGCACAGCAACTTGGACTTCCAGGGTTGAATAGACAAGGATCTCTCCTGGTTGTGGTGATCGGTCTCCTGGTGGTGGTGGTGGTTACACACTGAGGTGATGTTGGGTTCCTCGCACAACATGCGCGTGATCTTGGATTAACATCACAAGGGTCTCGTGGCGGTGTGGTGGTGCGTTGTGTAGTTGTGCGTCTAGTCGTAGTTGTGGTGCACTGTGGTTGGTTAGGGTTTCTAGCACAGCACTGAGGTGATCTGGGATTAATAGCACAAGGATCTGGGCGAGGAGTAGTGGTGGTAGTACAGGCTGGATGACTGGGGTTCCTGGCACAACAGCTAGGTAATCCAGGTCGAGTGACGCATATATCCGGAGGTGCACGAGTGGTTGTGGTTGTTGATGTGGAAACAAGTCGAGATATCAAGTTTGATGGGAAGCCAGGATCTTCACACATGTTGGTACACCCACCTTTGCACAATTCGACTTCACAGGATAAGTACACATCCATTTTATCAGGAAACTTGAAGGCAAAGAGTGAAGCAAAGGCAATAATGTCTGCGCCGGTGGTACCAGTCTGCCGAGTGCGGGAGAAGTAGCTCATCAATTTGGGTTTCAGGAGACAGCCACGTTCATCTGACAGCTGGAGGCGGGTTGTTCTTTCATCCTCCAAATCATCCGAGTCGTAGGCGTAGCAGTTCTTCACCAACATGTCAAATTCCGAACCACCATCCTTTGAGTAAATCACAACAGTAAGCTCGTCACCAATTTTAACGATGCCGTCAACCGTATTTGAAAAGGGTCCTTTGCCGAGTTGTATATCCATCCAACACATGACGTCATCGCCTGAATAACGGACCTCTTTTGCCTGCAGCATATCCACGGCAAAGGGACGGAAGGTGATAAGTTTTTCCATGCGGGTTGTCCAGTCGCAAGTGATCTTGCGGGCGGTATCCCAAACTTCCTGGACAATCTCTTCATTCTGAATCATAATCATGTTTTCGAAGCCGGTGCTGCCGTCGTCGTCGTTATCAAAAGTCCTGGTGCCGCAACCAACCATGGGAATGACGAAGGAATACGAGGTTCTGCCAGAGTTGGCTCGGACGTAGCTGCATACAGGGAGAGAGTGTCAAGTGTGTCCTTCGCTCCTTTTCTTGTTTATGTCTCAAATTCCTGTTAAATCTAATAACTGAGATTTTATTTCAGAGAATATGATTATTAAAAGACTACGGAAACTTACCTGCTTTATAAGTTCAACATGAAAAGAAAGAGTTATAAGGAACGTCACCGTATTAGTCGAGCGTCCGTCATGGTCCTCATGAGGGGAGGCGAGAGTTTCACCAACAGTCATACAGACAGACAAATAACATAATATAATCTTATACAGAATGACTGATATATGAAATATGCATTGTCATTAAAAAAGGCAATATTAAGATAAAGCAAACAGGACAGGCAAGGAAGAATGTGACAACAAAAAATATATTTCTTATCTTCGGCACACATCTACTATAAGGCGTGACACCAGCATCTACCCCACAGTGTACCTAAACAAAGGGTGCTTGCTCAAGGATATACCACCAGGGTATGCTAAAAACCTTGATACGAATTATGATGCAACCATCAACAAGAAGCTACTGACAATGTACCTCTAAAGTAGACTATGAACTACACTAATTCACACCAATATCTTACATAATATTTGGACTAGTCAAATTCTAAAAATGATTTGTTTCTCAATCTAGACATAATTTTTTCTACATGACTGTAGTCTACACAAGACTAAATTAAGTTGCACAGGTAAGATACAATTCAAAAATGTATAAATGGAGGCAGCAGATGCAGGTGGGGATGTGAGAGAGACTAGTGCCCTAGCCACGCAGCCATATGTTCTTTGTGGCTGTTTCGCTGCCGAATATACAACACCAGAGCCACTGTAGATGACAACAAAAGAAGAAACAAAAGGGAGAGGATGGAAGCTGTGAAAATGACCACAGGAAGGCATACTGTACCTAGAGGATCAGAATATACTGGTTCGGTAAATGCCTGTGCTATCGGTTCCTCTGCCTGAACCCTGAAAAAAGGTTTCCTGGGTTCTGGCAGGTCGGTGGCAGAAATAACTGATAAAGATCGAGACAACCTTACAGGAACCTTTTCCAAAAGTGGTCGCTTTGCTGGGAGTGGTTCGCCAGGAGATCGAATGCTCCGAGATAGAGGAACTTCCTCGTCAGCATCTCTGGAGAGTCGAGCACCAAATCTCCTGCCCCGCCTTCCATCGCCCTTTTGGAAGTGGAAACTGTGGAAGGCATGGTAACGGGACTCCCCTTCCCATTCCTTGCCTGTAGGCTCTGGCTTAGGCTGAGGGGCTGATGACAACTGTTTACCTCTGTTGGGCTTGCCTTGACTAGAGGGTGTAGTTGGCTTAAGAGAGGGACCTGAAGGCTTTGGAGTAGTGGCTGAAGGTGCCTTTACTCTAGAGAAGGAGGTGGTGGTGGTAGGTCGAGGAGTAGTGATTGTTGCAGGGAAGAGCACAGAGTCCCTGCGTGGGGGTTCTGGCTGAAGAGTTGTGGGTTGTGGAGTAGGGGTTGGGCGAGGCCTGAAGGTTGGCCTCAAAGAAGGACGGAAAGTAGTAGGTAGGATTGTTGGCCGCCGGGTAGGTTTTGGGGTTGGTCTCAGAGTGGTTGGAAGTGTTGCTCCAGTGGACAAACTCTTGGAACAACGGGGGTCTGGTGATCCAGCAAAGCAGATTGGTTTGGCTGGGGTAGTGCCCTTTTGACATCTTGGGTCAAAGCTTCCAGGGAAACAAGCAGCTGGTGTGGTAGGCCGTGGGCATCTAGGATCTCTAGATCCTGGAACACAGCGGAATGGGGCAGGGGTGGTGGTGGTAAGTTTAGGACATCTTGGATCTGTAGATCCAATGAAACATCGTGGTGGGGGTTGAGTTGTGGGTTTAGGACAACTAGGGTCACGGGAGCCAGGGAAGCACCGAGGTGGTGGTCTGGGTGTAGTAGTTTTAGGGCATCTTGGATCAGTAGAACCAGCGAAACACCTTGGAGGAGATGGGGTAGTAGAGGGTTTAGGACATCTTGAGTCAGTAGAGCCAGGGAAACAGCGGGGTGGGGAGGGTGTGGTTGTGGGCTGAGGGCATCCTGGATCAGTGGAACCAGGGAAACAGCGGGGTGGAGCTGGTGTTGTGGGTTTAGGGCATCTTGGGTCAACAGAACCAGGGAGACAGAGAGGTGGAGCTGGAGTCGTGGGCTGAGGGCAATTTGGATCCGTAGAACCAGGGAAACAGCGGGGTGGGGCAGGGGTAGTTGGTTTAGGGCATCCAGGATTTTTAGAACCTGGGAAACAACGAGGTGGGGCTGGTGTTGTTGAGGGCCTAGGGCATCTTGGGTCAGATGACCCAAGAAGGCAAATAAGAGGAGTGGAAGCTGGACTTGTCACCTGAGGACATCTAGGGTCAGTTGATCCTGGGAGGCAAACTGGAGGTGCAGGGGTAGTGGGCTGAGGGCACCTTGGGTCGGTTGAACCAACGAAACATCTTGGGGTAGTGGGAATGGTAGGTTTGGGGCATCTAGGGTCTGTTGAGCCAGTAAAGCATCGAGGAGGGGCAAAAGTGGTGGGCTGTGGGCATCTTGGATCTGTTGACCCAGCAAAGCATCTTGGAGGTGCAAGTGTAGTGGGTTGTGGGCATCTCGGGTCAGTTGAACCAGCAAAACATTGAGGGGGTTCTGGGGTAGTAGGTTTAGGGCACCTTGGATCAGTTGAACCTGCAAAGCATCTTAGAGGGGCTAATGTTGTGGGCTTAGGGCAACGAGGGTCAGTTGAACCAACAAAACATTGGGGAGGAGCAGGAGTAGTGGGCTTAGGGCATCGAGGGTCAGTTGAGCCTTCAAAACATTGTGGAGGAGCAGGGGTAGTGGGCTTAGGGCATCGAGGATCGGTTGAGCCACCAAAGCATCGAGGTGGAGCAAGAGTAGTAGGTTTGGGGCATCGAGGATCAGTGGAGCCGACAAAGCATAGTGGAGGAGCAGGGGTAGTTGGTTTAGGGCACCGAGGATCAGTTGAACCAGCAAAACACAGTGGGGGGGAAGGAGACGTGGGCTGTACGCATCGTGGGTCAGTTGAACCAGGGAGACATTGGAATTGTGGAATGGTAGGTGTGGGGAGTTTGAAGGAAGTTGTCAGTGTCTGTTTGGGAGCAGGACTAGTGTTAATTGCTTTACCCCTATTAGGAGAAGGTGTTGTTGGGAAGATACATCTAGGATCTTTGCTTCCAAAGCCACAAAGTTCCTGTTCAGGGGAAGTAAATTGGCAAGCAGGATCAGTGGAACCAGGCCCACAAACAGAGATACTGGGGACAGTGGGTGGTGAGGAGTAGCACCTAGGATCAGTAGAGCCAGGAAAGCAAGTGGGTACAGTAGTAGGACCTGGGGTAGTGATGGGTTCACCAAATAGTGTGCTGCCAGTGCGGAATGGACCTTCAGTGGTAGTACCAGGGGATGATGGACCTTTAACAAGAGAACCACAAACGCTGTCACAATCTCCCTTGCATATTTCTACATTACACGACATGAATACATCCATAACATCTGGGAACTTGAAAGCCTGTACAAAAGCATAGGTGACAATAATTTCTCCCCTCTCGTCTCGCTGCCGGGTGCTGTAGAAAGGGCTGATTAGTTTGTCTTTTAGCACACAGCCTTGCTCGTCTGTCAGCTGGATTCGAGGAGTGTTTACATCGTCATAATTTGGGCCTCCATAAGCGTAGCAGTCCTTGACGCTCACATCGTACATGCCTTTGTTGTCACGTGCGTACACCATCAGGGAGAGTGTCTCGCCGATCTTAACGATGGAGTCAATGTCGGATGTCAGTGGCCAACGTCCTTGCTTCAAGTCCATCCAGCACTCGATAGGTTGGCCTCCCTTGAAGCGGACCTCTTGAGCATCCAACATCCCGACAGCAAAGGGATTGAACGCCACGGTCTTAACGAGATTGTCAACCCAGTCACACTTGATCGTGCGGGCGACGTCCCATACTTCTTGCACCGTGGGATCGTTCTGTACGATGATGGTGTTGGTCATGCGGGTACTGGACTCACGGCTCTTCCCGCTTGGGCCGTTGTTGGTGATATCAGAGGTAGCTGTGCCGCACTCACCGCTCGGGATGGTCAGTGAGAAACTGGAACGTCCCGAGTTGGCCGCCACATACCTGACACGGACCAGTCACGTCATGTCATGAATGGAAAACATAGGCCGAAGCCAAAAGGGACAGGGAAATCAAGGGCTTAAGAATAATATAGATGGAACAGGAGAAAAGGAAAAGGTTGATATGGAAAGTGATTTCAAGACAAGAGTATGGACAGGTGCATCAAGAGATTTTTTTTTCTTCATTATTAGTAGAATTAGGTTTTCGAAGGCCAACGACAGAGCTAAGTGCCCTCGGTTAACGATCTCGGAAGTTTTCAGGCATCGACCAAGTAACTGTGAGAGACTAATTCCGTCTCTGTGGGTCAAATCCCACAATCTCTTTCCAAGTTTCTTTTGGCTGTGAGTGGTCACAACACGACCAACATTTTATAAACACCGTGGTTCAGGACAGAAATATTTAGGGAATATTGTTTAATGCTTTAAGCATTTTATGTTTTTTTTAACGGTTTAGGTTGGTTTACGAAAGCTTAGGTCTACTTTAGGGGGTTTATGTTGTTCTAATTTACAGCTTATTACGGTTTATAGTCTCTCAGGTTACTTGTTCAACGTTTAAAGAGATGAGTAAGAGGAGTTTAACAAGTAAACAAACTACAGAAGTCCAAGGAAGACAGACAGAGAGCAATATTTCTAATCTCTTGACATGTACACAGACTCTAAGTGCAGGCGCATAAAAACATTAAATTACTCTAATATACTATTTAAGTTATAATTCAAATTCTAAACAATCAATTCAGATCTAATCGTGACTACAAGACACAATTGTTGAACAGCACTGCACAAAGAGTAAGTGTATTCAAAGAGGGGTATAGATAGTGTTAGTATATTTAACTGTAGGATACTGGAAGCATTGTATACCATAGTAGACAATGCGTGTGACCGTCCTTCTAACCCGTGAATGAAGCACTTCGGCCACATGGATGGTTACGTATTTTGCGTTTAAGATTGATCCTGAATCGTGTGGAACATTAGACAGGGAACTTGACAACTTTCTATGACGGTTTACTTTGGCTTCTTTTGGTTATGCAATGATAAACAGGTAAAAATACGTTCAAATGACCTCAGTTATGATTAGAGAGATGGCAGAAACCTTTAAAATGCGATTTGTGAAAAACATTAAAACATTGAGGATTTATTACAAGAAGTTGATATATGATAATGATAAGCTCAATATTTAACGTGGTGAAATTGACTATTTATATATTTTCTTGCAAATCATCATGTCTTTAACGGTTATACTAATACTGAACGTGTGGAAATATCCTCAATAAGTGAACGAATCCATACATACTCTAAAATTAACATGAGTTCGACATGATTTCTATACACGTTCTACAATTCTTTCACGAGTATTTCCGAACCTCAACAAGTGACATCGAACATTCTTTCCATACAAGTTTTACAACTACATGTCAACTACGCTTTCACGAATATGTCAAGGATAGAATATAGACATAGAGCATACTCGAAAGGGATCCGTGCAAGTGTCGAAAGATTTAGGAAGGAGGGCGTGAGGTCGTGTAGGGTGGGACGGGTATAGGGGTTAAGGACGAAATACACACTTAGGACATGTTAAATGGTATATTTCTTGGTATTTACATCGTCTGGGTATTTTTGGTTAATAAGTTTATTTTACATGATTAGTTTTTACAGTTATTAGTAACTTACATGTTAGTTTAAACTACTTAAAGACTAGTCTAGAGCCTAAGAGTTATCATTTGTTGACTATAATCACCTAGCTTGTGTACTGAATATATAGTTTACACATAACAGGCTACAGTGGGTGTTGGTTTATAATTTTCAGCATATGTTTATCTGTACAAACTATATAGCTGCACACACAATCACAGAGACGTTTACAACCACATACTGTATGGACATATAGGCAAGGCTGTATGTTTATAACAAAAAGAGTAACATAAACACGCACACGTACACGTACAAGCGCACACACACACATATGCATGCGTACACACATATATATATATATATATATATATATATATATATATATATATATATATATATATACATACATACATACATACATACATATATATGTACACAAACACACACACACATATATATATGTGTATATATATATATATAATATATATATATATATATATATATATATATACGTATAGATAGATAGATAGGTAGATAGGTAGATACACACACACACACACACACACACACACACACACACACACACACACACACACACACATTATATATATATATATATATATATATATATATATATATATATATATATATATATATATATATATGCCACATGTTACCTGATCTGTACATAAACGATGTATGTGCTGTTTGAAATGAGGCCTATATTGATTTACACACATGGGGAGTATTTCAATTTGATGAATCAAATGTATGTGAATGAACCAAAACCACAATAACTTCAGATATTTACAAAATAAATTATGGGCATTTGTCATTTTTCTAATAAATGCACCATATTTCCTCTATGTATGAGATATATAATTTGAAGATATATGCAAAGTTAGTGAATGAAATATGTATAATCTTTATTCATCAACTGGTAAAATGCTTGGCTATATCTTCTCATTCCTATGAAAATGATGTATAGGTAACATTCATAAGCTATTGTGACAGTGAGAGAAGCGTGTAAAGCTAAAACTAGGCATTATAAATCCTACTAAAGCTTAAAAGTGCTTGCAACCGACATCAGCCAAGTCTAGTGTAGCCATGAAGCCATACTCTAACCACTAATAACTATAACATCGTAGCACAACAGCGCTGCCACCACATATCACAGCTATAGCACTAGCACTACGTTAAGAGTCGTGATCTTGGAGGACCAGAGTATACAGGGCAGGGGTTAGGTCCTCTCTATACGCAGGTCCTCCAAGAACGTCGGTATGACTGGCAGTGAAACATCTCCACCAGTGAATTTTGGATTCCATGATGTTTATTGATTTATTTGATGAACTTTTATGTATATACTTAAAATTTGGGTTCATCTCTTCAATTCATTCCAATTGGAAGTTTTAGATTTTTAAATATTTACATTTTTGGTTCATCTCTTCAATTAATTCCAATTGGAAGTTGTCAGAAGTCGATTGTCAGAAGTTAGTTGCTCACTAGGATTAGCATTAGATTAGTAAACGTCTACTGAACTAACTACAAGATGGTTGATGTTAAGCATTGCCTTCACCTTACCATCTTATGGCTCTATTTTACACTTACAAGTAAAGGATTTTAATCTGTTAGGGACTATATACAGTTGTTATGACTTATGATTCATATTAGGAAATAAAACATCAAAGAAATACAGTAGAGAGGGATAGAACGAGGCACTGGTGTAGGTCTGTTGTGTTCTGCATTTGCGCAGTTGAAAATACCACCACTGGCATCATCTCTGTTCTTTAACCAGGTAGACTATGTACATAAGTATACTCTGTTAATATTATGAGTATTCTCGACGTGTTTGATCTACACGTTTGGCTCTGTTTGTTCTGTAACTGGAGTGGGGTTTCCGAAGGCTATTTTTTTTTTTATCTGCCTTGGAAGTGTGTGGGTATATATATCGGAGGCGTTGGATGCTGGAGTTGGTTTGTCTGCCGAGTGTCAGGGGGTCAGGTAAGTGTTTGTACAGGTGAACCAGTGCCTCGGGAAGAGGGTCTCAGTACAGAGGAAGGACATTATAGTTTATCAGGTTTAATTTTTATACATTTTAGGGTCTACAAACTACTAGTGCTTTAAGAACTCTATTGGTTGAAGTTTTTAAATATTTTTTTAAAAGAAAAAATATTAACTTTACTTGATTACTTTATGATTTAATCAGTACTGAATATTTTTAATTATGATTAAACACAGATTAAGATTTCTATTATTTCTATTTTTAATAATTTTTAAAAAATCACTTACATCTTGCGACTCAAAAAAAGTCACACAAAACAAAACATCTAAATCCTGAAAAAAAGAGAAAAAGAAAAGAAAAAAAAATTTAAGTCTCCAGCCGACGGGACCGAAGACCTCGAAGGTACTCACCGACAGGCAGGGTTCGAGAAGTGACCTTTGCTGAAGATGACCCCGTCGAAGGGCTGTGAGAAGGTCACGCTCACCGTCATCCCAGACTTCTCACACTGGACGTCCAAGCTGGTGATCTGTGGCATGTTCGCCATTCCCGGCACCAGCTCCACGTCGTTGGTCAGAGCCAGCTGTCCGGCAGCCAGCTGGGGGAGGAAAGGAGGGGGGGGGTGAGGGCGCGGGTTTTGTGAGGAATGGATGGCGCTCGACGTCGCCCGTGTAAGAAAAGGCAAGAGAGAGGGAGGCGAGAGAATGATAGAGAGGGAGAAGGAGAGGCGAGAGAGAGAGAGAGAGAGAGAGGGAGAGGCAAGAGAATGATAGAGAGGGAGAGGCGAGAGAATGAGAGAGAGGGAGAGACGAAAGAATGATAAGAGAGGGAGAGACGAGAGGCGAGAGAATGATAGAGAGGGAGAGGCGAGAGAATGAGAGAGAGGGAGAAGGAGAGGCGAGAGAATGAGAGAGAGGGAGAGGAGAGGCGAGAGAGAATGAGAGAGAGGGAGAGGCGAGAGATGAAGAGCGAGAGAATGAGAGAGAGGAAAGAGAGGAGAGAGAGGCGAGAGAATGAAAAGAGGAGAGGCGAGAGAATGATAGAGAGGGAGAGGGCGAGAAAAACGATAGAGAGGGAAGGCGAGAGAATGAGAGAAAGGGAGAGGAGAAGGCGAGAGAATGGTAGGGAGGGAGAGGAGGAGACGAGAGAATGATAGAGAGGGAGAGGAGAGACGAAAGAATAATAGAGAGGCGAGGGGCGAGAGAATGAGAGAGGGGGAGAGGAAGAGACGAGAGAATGATAGAGAGAAGCAAAAGGGAGAAGGGAAGGAGGGAGTCAAGACACGGATCTCGGAAAGAATTTATGGCGCTCTACATCGAAAGAGAGAGAGAGAGAGAGAGAGAGAGAGAGAGAGAGAGAGAGACCGAGAGAGAGAGGAGATATATATATAAATAGATAGAGGAGAGAGATATATAAATAGATAGATAGAGAGAGGGGGGGGGATAGATAGAGAGAGAGAGAAACTCAAAATACCAACAAATATGATAACCAACGACATTCCATCTCTTTCTCTCTCTCTCTCTCTCTCTCTCTCTCTCTCTCTCTCTCTCTCTCTCTCTCTCTCTCTCTCTCTCTCTCTCTCTCTCTCTCTCTCTCTCTCTCTCTCACCGTGTACTGCAATTAACACATAAATACCTAACCACGATACTATCAATAACAACCAAAGTCACTATGGCGTTGTAAAGAAAACTTTCTCACACACATCTTTGAATATTTGATGATAAACCGGTATTTCTTTTTCTTTTTTTCTTTTTTTTTTGTATACGTTGGGGTAGGTCTATTGCGTCGAGTAATTAGGGATCGTTAGGCCTATGCTGGTAGAAGGAATTTCTGGGACTTTGTTGATCATTTGGTATGGAAAGTTCTGGTAGATGGCGGGTGGGTGGTTAGAGGAAGTGGGGTTAGTTAATGTGTTTTTCTTATTTATTTATCTCTTTCTTTCTCTCTTTCATTCTCTTTCTCTCTCTCTCGCTCTCTCTCTCTCTCTCTCTCTCTCTCTCTCTCTCTCTCTCTTTCTTCTCTCTCTCTCTCTCTCTTGCTCTATCGCTTTGGCTCTTTCTCTCTATCGCTGTCTCTGTCTCTCTCTCTCTCTTCTCTCTCTCCCACTTCCACTTCCTTCCTCCCTCCTTCACTCTTCCTCTCTTGCTCTTCCCTCTTTGCTTCCCATTCTTCTTTCTCGTCTCACCAAAGAAAACGGAAACCCAAAAAGAAAACGGAGCAAAAGTCAAGATTTCGAAGCAGCTTTTAAATCCGTTAACATCTTTACACTCAGAGACCGCTGGGTTAAAAAAAAAGTTCGGGTCTGTTCTAAGTTCTGACAATCCCTCTCTCTTTCTCTCTCGATCTCACTAATTCTTCTCTCTCTCTCTCTCTCTCTCTCTCTCTCTCTCTCTCTCTCTCTCTCTCTCTCTCTCTCTCTCTCTCTCTCTCTCTCTCTCTTCCCACTCAGAGACCGCTGGGTTAAAGAAGGCCGGCTCTGTTCTAAATGTTTTGACAACCTCTGTCTGTCTGTCTGTCTGTCTCTGTCTGTCTGTCTCTCTCTCTCTCTCTCTCTCTCTCTCTCTCTCTCTCTCTCTCTCTCTCTCTCTCTCTCTCTCTCCGCTCAGAGACCGCTGGTTAAAGAAGGCCGGCTCTGTTCTAAATGTTTTGACAACTCTCTCTATCTCTCTCTCTGTCTCTCTCTTGGAACTAGTTTTTTTCCCTCTTTCTCAGAACTCGTCTCGTGTTGAGGCAGACAAGAGAGTTACTCGGCCGATTTGAAATGAATGAGAGGAAAAGAAATAGGTATTTGCTTTTTTTTGGGGGGGGGGGAGATCACTTAGGGCCCGCGGGGTTAAATGATAATTTTAGTGTTGTCTGGTTTATGTTTATATTAGGTTTAATAAGGTTAGGTTAAATCATTAAATTTCACCGTATTGTCAGGTTTAATTGTATATATATATATATTTTTTTTTTACTTACCTTCACGTGGGTTAAATATTTCATACATTGTTTATGATTAACTCCTCGACCATTGTGATAATCAAGGTCTTTCTTATCTACTTTTATCGACTTTTTTGCACTCCCCCTTTCACTCCTCTCTCACTTCGCTTCGCCACTTTCACTCATCCAATTTATACCTTCCTTTCACCCGCTGTTCATCCGTCTCTCTTTTTATTTTCCTTTCACACTCTTTATCCTCAGTTGCGTCTGTTTCATTTTCGTTAATTTTTCTGTTTTTTGATGTTTTATTTCTACTGATTTTTTTCTGTTTGATTACTTATTTATTTCTGTTTTTCTTGATGTTTTTTATTTTTTTATTTACTTCGTTTCTTTTAATTTCTCTATAATTACTGTTTTATTTTTATTAACTTTTCTATTCATTCGCTTGATGTTTCATTTCTATTAATTTCTCTGTTGATTGACATGCTCTCCTATCTTTATCAATTTCTCTCTTATCTACTTGTTTATTTTCTATTGATTTAGGTATCTATTTATTTTGTTTTATCTACGTTAATCTATCCATTTACTTATCACCTTATTCTTTATCAGCTTTCTCTCTCCTATCTATCCCTTTTTAATCTCATTTTCCCTATTCCCCTCTTCGTAAACACTTCCATCTCCGCTTTCTCTCTCCTATCCATCACATTCCCTCTTCAATCTCATTTCCCCTCTTCCCTTCTTCGTAAAAACTCCCCTCAACCTTCCCATTATTCCTGATTTTATCCCTTCCATCCTCTTTATCATACATTCTCTTTCTCTCTCTCTCCCCTTTCTTCCATATCCCTTCCCTTCTCTCCTTCTTCTAATGATTTACTTCAACCTCTGTTTATCATCCATTCTCTCTCTCTCTCTCTCTCTCTCTCCCCCTTTCTTCCAATCTCTCGTGGTCCGGGAGAATGCAAATGTGGTCGAGGTTAAGGGTTCTGATTAGGGCCAGCGCCGTGGGTCAGGTGATTAGCGAATCCTCTAATTATCCTTCGAGGGCTGGCACGTGATCCGAAAGGGGCGGGGAAAGGGTGGGGGAAAATGGGGTGGGGGGGATGGGGGGGGGGGGATGCGGAGGAGGTGGGGAATGGGGGAGGAGGTGGGAAAGGGTGGGGGAATGGGGGAGGGAGAGGGTGGGAGGGGGATGGGATGGGAGGTGGGGTAGGGAGGTGGGGAATGGGGGAGGGTGATGGGGTGGGTGGAAGGGGGGAGGGTTAGGGGGGGTTGGCTTGATATATATTAACGATCCCTATTCGGTGATGTTGCTTCCCTCCTTAATCTTTCTTTTCTTCTTTTTTTGTTTTCGTTTCATTTCTCTCTCTTTCTTTATTTTTCTTTTTTTGTCGTTCTCTCTCTTTCTTTCTTTTTTCTTCCTTTTTCATTCTCTTTCTTTCTCTTTCTCTGTCTCTCTTATTTCTTTTCCTCTCATTCTTTCTCTCTCTCTCCCTCCCTCTCTATCTCTTTCTTTCCTTCCCTTCTCCTTCGGTCTCCTCCTGAGAGTAGAACTCTCTTTCTCTCTCTCTCTCTCTCTCGCTTTATCCTTCCCTTCTTCCCTCTCTTTCTGAGACTAGAACCCATTCTCTCTGTCTCTCTTTCTCCCCTCTCCTCTCTTCTTCTCCCCTCCCTCCCCCTCCTCCTCCCTCCTCCCTCCCTCCTTCCTCCTCTCCCCCCTTCCTCCCTCCTCCTTTCCCAATCATTTCCTATCGATTCCCCGCCACAGGGTAGGGTTGGGGAGGGAAGAGGGAGGGGGAGAGAAGGGGGAAAGGGAGGGGGAGGGGGGAGGAGGGGCGGGCTATGCAATTGAAGGGTAGAGAACAGGGGAAGAAGATAAATGGGGAGGAAGGGGAATTAGGGTACAGAAGGGAGAGGGAGAAAGAGAAAATGATAGACGTGCGCGGTATTGTGGAGAAGTTATCGTACCTAACCTGACCTATTTTATTTTGGAGAATGTGTGGATATCGGATGTTTTTTGTTGTTGTTTGTTGGTGTGTAACTGTGTGGTTATCGGGTATTGTTTTTTGTTGTTTGTTGGTTTGTAACTATTTTGCTTTAGAGAATGTGTGGATATTTTATTTTGTTGTTTGTTGATGTGTATTTTGTTTTAGAGAATGTGTGGATATATATATTGTATTCTCTTGTTTGCTGATGTGTAACCATTTTATTTTAGACACTGTTTGGATATCGGATATGGTTTGTCGTTGTTTGTTGGTAACTGTTTTATTTTTTGACAAAAGTGTGGATATCGGGTGTTGTTTTTTGTTGCTTTTTGATGTGTAATATTTTATTTTAGAGAATGTGTGGATATCGGATATTGTATTCCGTTGTTGTGTGGAGTTTTCTTCTAGTCTGTACTCTTTGCAATGGTGAGTGGATATTTTGAATAACTCCCTAAAAAACAAGAATACCCACACGCAAAGTCCACGGAAGGCCACGGATATCAACAGAAATAACCACACAAAATCCAAGAATTTTCACAAAAATATCCACACACAAAAAAGCAGGAATGCCCTCAAACAGAATCCAACAATATCCACAAAATACCCACCTAATCCCAGAACACCCACAAAATAACCTCACATTCCATCCACATAATCCAAGAATTTTCACAAAATATCCACACACACACACACACAAAA